AGACGTACTTCGTTGATGACTGGTGTTAGCGAAAGAAGCATTTACAATTTCAAAAAAGAAAAAGAACAGAGTGGAACGTTGAAATCGCCAAAAAAACGTAAAAAACGAGTGTGTCAATCAAATTCTAGAATATTCACATATGACGAGGGTGTAAGAAGTATTCTACGGAGAATTGTTCATTGTTTAATTTTTCATGAAAAATTTACCGCCATTCTTAAAGCATATACATAACTTCATACAAGGTAATGAGAATATACAGCCGTTGTCTCTTTCTACTTCTGAAAGATATTGGATTTGTTTATAAGAAACGTGGCCGAAATAGCATCATGGTGGAGCGAGAGGATATTATTCATAGGCGCCATAATTATTTGAGAACTATACGACGTTTGCGAAAAGACCATTGCAATATCATATATTTGGACGAATCGTGGGTTAATGTTGGCCAATCTATAAATTACGAATGGTGCGATACTACGATACAAAACAGTGGTGATGCTTTTCTCAAAGGTTTAAGTACTGGCTTAAAATCACCTACTAAACGAGTTCCGCGATATGTTTTATTGCATGCAGGTTTATCAGGAGGTTTCCTTCCTAGCATACAGCGTGTTTTCTGACAAAGAAAAATGATGGTGACTATGACGATGAAATGGATGCCGCCAATTTTGAGTCGTGGTTTAAGGAGACATTAATATCAAATTTACCAAATAATGGTCGGAGGAATGTCATTGTAATGGACAATGCATCGTACCACTCCCAAAAAGAGAGATTCCCTAACAATTCCTAGAATAAAGCTGAAATCAAGGAATGGCTAGTGGAAAAAGACATTTTTTTCGAAGAGTGTTATTTGAAATCCGAGGTATTAGAAGCAGCGCGTGCTTTTAAAGATCAATACGATAGGTATCATCTTGATGAGTATGCTTCACAACATAATGTTTATATTTTAAGGCTTCATATCACTGCGAATTGAATCCTATAGAAATGGTGCGGAACCAAGTTAAGCGATATGTAGGTACCCATAATACCACTTTTAAAAACGACGAGGTACGTCAGTTGATCGACGACGGTTTCGCACGCGTCACAGAGCAAAATTGGCGCAATTATGTCACTTATGTTGTTGAGAAAACGGAATCTGAGATGTGGACTGCGGACAACCTGCAAGATTACGTAGACCAATTGATAATACATGCAAACACAGGGGAGAGTAGCGAAAGCGAATCCGACATCTCGGATGTAGAGGACGACTTTAGTATAATTAATTGACTGCGTTATGTTTTAACAAGGACAAAAACTGCACTTCAGATTTCCACAAAAAAAAATTTCATAGTAGGTGTTAAAATTTCGCAGTGATTAAAACATCGCCGGGATTAAAAATTGTGCAAAGCTTTTTCGATATTCCCGTTCCTGATAATTTTTCACATATTTACAAAAGAAAAAGTTTTTCTTGGATATTGGGCTGGGTGCACGGAAATCGAGTTACCGGAGGTTCCACCCGGTATATTTATAGCTATCAAGAAATTTAATTTAAAATACATTTGTTAGTTTAATAAAGTATACAGTTTTATAATAAAATTCTCGCTAAAAACTTAAGGTCTTTTTATTTAAATTCATGTCTCTTATTTGGCTACTTGAAGGCAATTATTTTATCAATATATTTTTTATAATAAATAATAGAGCCCGGCGTAAAGATCTCGGTACGGTTCTGTGACTACCACTTGGACCTATTTGTATCGCCAAGCACAAGGTGTAAAATCCGGCAATTGTGCATTCCTATATTAGCCGTACTGCACTCTCGGTGTGACATTTTCTATAGAAATAAAACAAAATCTAATAAATGTTCCTCATCCTAAGAAAAAGAACCGAAATATATTATAAGCCAAATCGTAGAAACACGACTTGTAAGGAATACACAAAATTTTTTTGTGTTATTTATGTTGGAAAATAGAGGATTAGAATGTGTGTAGATGCATTTATTATTATTAGATACGATGTCAGACATAGAAAAAAGCTTTGTGGTACGAAGGATAGAACTATTGTGCAGATGTTGATGGAAGAAGAAGAAGAGGAAAACCTACAAGAAGAGGAAGGACTTTGAGGTAGAGGACTTAAGAGAGAAAGGTTTAGGTAAAGAAGACCCGATGGACAGAAATAAGTGACGACGAAGAGTTAGAAACAGTGATTAGAGAAATGGCAAAATCTAAAAAAGAAAAAGAAGATAGGCATAATACAAGTATCTTGAGAGAAAAATCCTTATTAAAATAAATTGGAAAAAATAAATAAATTAAGTAATTCGAACCTATTGTCAAAAAATAGTAATTTAATATTCAACAAATAGTTTCGGATTGACATTTTATTTTAAGCTTAAAATTGGGACTCAATATTTGTGTTAAATTTTGGAAACTTCTCTCAAGTATATAAAAAAAAATATGAAGCAAATTTCAAAGCTTGCCGAATCTTTGTTCCGTACACATACTCCTCCATAACAACCCAAAATCATTGTTTCAACAATGCTTAAAAATTACAAAAAATAATAAATTGAAAAACTATTTGAAATGTTTACTTTTTTAAGATTGACATCTACAATGTTTAAAAATTACAAAAAATAAGAATAAATTGAAAAACTATTTTAATGTTTACAGGTATCTTATTCAATACAGTGAATCTAAATTAAAATCTTTACAATGTGTGTTTAGAATTCATAATTGGATACCTAGGTCCTACGTAGTTGGTATAAATGAAGATTTTACTGTTTTTATTAAAATTCTCATTTTTTTAGGTAAATAATTTCCAATAAATGTAGAATGCACATAATATCGTAAAATAAAAAAGATATTGATATGTATCAACAATATTGCACAATTAAAATATACATATTTACATACAAAATAAATATTCTTTGAACTTTTTCCTTAATAACAATCATAAAAAATTAATGTGACAACCTGATCATTGAGCAAAAAGGTAAAAAACCGGTAAAGGTAAGCTGAGTAAAAGGTATATATATATATATATATATATATATATATATATATATATATATATATATATATATATATATATATATATTTATATATATCGTCGTAAAATTTTAGATAAATTATACAAACTATATGCAGCCATTTTTAGCTAACTTACACTGGAGTGTGATTGAAGGTTGGTACGTTGTTCAGGCTCTAAATGCTGATTTAAAAGTAGATTTACTTTTTTATTCTCTTCAAATATTGTAGTATATTATTATGTAAAATAAGAATCATTACGAAATGCTTCACACCCAAGAAAACAGCACCAACACAAACAAAAATCAGATTTGAAGAAATAATTACGGAATCCACGGGTTACTTACACAATAAAAAATATCAGAGTAGATTGCTGAGAATGAAATATTAGAAAACGATAACATCGAGGACAGCTAGAAAAAACTCAAAAATAATATAAATAGCAAAAAAACTCCATGGTTTAGAAATAAAGTGAAGAAAAATGTAAGAAAAGAATATATAAATAACAAAAAAACTCCATGGTTTAGAAAGGAAGTGAACGCCAAATGTAAAAGAAGGATAAAGACTTTTTACAATACAAAACACAACAGGCATACAACCTCTATAAACAACATAGAAACACGTAAAAAGGCGGTATTGGCAAAGTTAAAAAAAACAGATGGAAAACGACATCTATGAAACAAAAAAAGAAAAATATAGAATGGTTGAAGGACAAAAAAAGGAGATGAATGAAGTAATAAAAAGAAAACACGATCAGAAGGAAACATGGGCAGACTACTTTCGATCCCTATTTGCTAAAGGACAGAATGCCAGAAACGGCAGATATGTAAAACCCTTGATAATGAACCACCAATACCAGAAGTGACGACAAACAAAGAAATAAATATTGAGAATCAGGAAGTAAATGAAGCATTAAGGAAATTAAAAAATAGAAAATCACCAGGAAAGGACATAATACCGAATAAACTCCTAATTTACGGAAGACCTGATGACACCAAACAACTATTAAAGCTAATCCAAAGGATAGTAAAACAAAACAAGTTACCACAAGAATGAAGATCAAGCATCCTAATACCCCTCTTCAAAAAGGGAAACAAATCGGACACCGAAAATTACATAACATACATAACAAAATAATGCAAGTAGATGAAGAACTAACTCAGATCATTAAAGCTGATATGGGATAAGACAGGGGGAGTCAAATTGAACATGGACGAAATAAAAGAAATTACAAACTAAAATAGGATACCAAATGGGAGAAAACCAACTTAAAATAATTTTATATGCAGATGACGCAATACAAATTTATCAAAGTGAAGATGATTTACAGCTTATGATGTACCAATTTAATGTAACCGAAAGACAATTTAACATGGTAATTTCCTCAAAAAAGGTAAAATGCATTGTTATAATAGCAAATCTATTAAGATAAAAATTAGAGCTGTAAGTTTAGATATAGAACAGGTGATGGATTTTAAATATGTAAGCATCACACTATCTAGCTACAGAAAGCTCGAAACAGAAGTAAATAATCAAGTGAATAGAGCAAACAGAGCTACAGATTGCCTGAATAAAACAATATGAAAATAAAAATATCGGGAAGGCAATTAAAAGCAGAATTTACAAAATAGTCATCAGATCAATAATAACATATGGGGCTGAAACACAACCTGACACAGAGAGAACAGAAACACAGAGAGAATGCCAGAAACGGCAGATATGTAAAACCCTTGAAAAAACTAATCGTAAAAAAATATGGGACGGGTCTAGAAGTACAGATATATGACAGAGGTGAAAGGTAGAGCACCTCAAGAACTGGAAAGATTTACAAGAAATTGTAGAAGAAGAAGAAGAAATAGTAGAACAGAACGATCGTTTAAGCCAAATGATAACAAATAGAGTATTAAGGAGGCCGAGAGACGGGTTCCCCTATAGAAAGACGATCAGTGGGAAGACCATGAAAACCATAGAACGACAACTTACTGGAGGCACAATGAAAAACAGAGTCATGTCTAAAATATTTGGTAGAATAAATATTACAAACTTTAAAATAATCCAAGTTAATTACTATACTGTTTACATTAATCAATGAAATGTTTTATATAACTTATACTTTCAACTATCACATACATAAATTTAATTATAACTATGATAAACAAAATACTATTTACAGTACAACTTAATTTATTTTTTAATATAATCCTGAGGGAAAATCTGTTAATTTTCCAGAACTTCTGCAGTCGCTGCCTATAACTTCTCTACTGCGATTAAAATAGTGATGTGTCTCAAATGTTTGACCAGAATAAAGACCAGCGTTGCTAAATCCCCGATCTAAAAGAAAACTTGAAGTATTACTTGGTTTCCTTTCTTGAATTCGAGGAAAATAATATAATACTTCGTTTTCTTCTCCGTATGAGGGTAAAAACATTCTGTGCTTTTCTTCGGAATAAGATCCCAATTTCGGCTTTATGTCTTTATCACGATTTACGTATACATTTGATATGCTTTTATTAGTAGAGGTTATGAGTAAGTTTTCTGAATCACTTTTTGATCTTGAGGCAATGGCTTTTACTTTATTTGATACGACACCATTTGGTACATCTATACTACTGTCAACTCTATCTAAGCTCATGCATTTATTCGATAAGTTTATGTTTTTGTTTTTCTGTAAATTTCTTTTGTATTCTTCAGGAGGAATGTGAAATTGATGTTTTTCAGAATACACATTTCTTCTAATGGTGGGTGTTGGATTTGGTAGTTGTCTAAAAGATTCTGATCGCTTTACTGTTACCTTAGAACTTTTGTTGTGTACTACATTGTTTATGGGCATTGATTCGATGGGAGTTGATTCTGTCTTCTTCTCGTATAGAGGAGGACAATACTTAGACACATCTACCATAGAAAATGAACTGTCTGTTGTTAGACTTTCTGTTTCAAAAAATAATTCCTTTGTATTATAATCATAGTCTGTAGTCGGCAAAAATAAATGTACTAGACTTCTGGATTTTCTTGGAGGTTCTGGTTGTAAATTTGATGGAATTATTTCGTAATCACTCGTAAGTGCGTAATCATCAATATCCAAATGAATTTTCAATTTTCCTGCTATTTGAGATTCCTCCTCTCGTTTTCTTTCATTATTAAGTTTTAGATTTTCCCTGTTATAATCCTGAGTTTCTTCGTTACTGATTATATCCTGAAGTTCCTGTATTACATCTTCTATAGTAGTTTCTTCTTCAGAGTCAATACTTGGTGGTTCTTCTGGGGCTGTATATATCTCGTATACCGTAGAAGTGGGTTGAATTTCGGCTTCTGGACTAGGAGTTCTCTCAGAAGATGATATACCTTCATCTTCAGGTGTAGATTCTGTAAAATTAGTAGATATAAATTTTTCGAAAATATATTCTTAATAAATAAAAATACCACACCCAAAGTATAAATTATGTTATTTCATATTAGCACAGAATAAATACCAATCAGAATGCCCACTCTCAGATACCGCCTTTGAAGTGTGTCAGCACGCTATAGCTATATTTTAAACGGAAACAAAGACTTGGATTTTAGATATTTGTGATAAGCTACGACAGAACCATAATTTAAATTTTAAGTGATTAATAATTTAGTAAATTTAAAATAATTTAATATATTATTCAACTAACGTAAAATATTGCATATTATGTCTATGGTTGCCGTAAATCAGTTAATCCGGGTTAATTTTTGTATACACACCAGATAAAATTTCACTGAACATTACCTATTCGCTGTGAGTTTCGACGGTAGCGCTCTCTCGCGGTTTGAAATTTGCACTTTTCTTGTAAAATCAGTGTAAGTGAAATATGACAAAACGAGAAAAATAGATATTTATCTAAAAATACGAAGTAATGAACTGAAATATTATGGCCCACTGATTAATGAACGAATACACAGAATTAATAGTAAACGTTATTACGCCTTGTTATTTTATTCATTATAATTATAATATTTAAGATATAAGTTCCTGCGACTGGATGATTACTTACGCAAGAGGCCATTGAGAAAAAGAAGAAGTTTATGTGAAATATTTAATAATTAAGCCATAGAATAATAAACAATCAGAATGACCACTCTCAGATGCCGCCTTTGAAGTTTTTCAGCACGCGCGCCATGTTTTAGAAGGAAACACATAACACAGACATATGATTTGTAAGGTTATGTAATTATTTATATTTATGTTTAAATTTATGTTATTATATTTAACAATGTTAATATAATTGTATAGTACTTATGTCTATGATTGCCGTAAGTCAATTAAACCAGGTTAATTTTTCTATGCACACCACATAAACAATACTGGTTCCCTCTAAAACATGGCGGAACGTCTGCGCGTACTTAATTTTCCATGGAGAGTGGGCATTCTGATTGTTTATTATTCTGTGGTTAAACCAAAGAATATAGACGCTTAAGCGTCTATATTCTTTGGTTAAAGATTACCTTTACCTCCGTAATGTTGTAATTCTTATTTTTATTTTGCATTTTTATTCGGTTTTTGCTCACTTATTTTTTGTGTGCATAGGCCTTAGTGCTTAGATATCAATTTGTTTTAATATTATTAAAATGGATAATAAACATTATACTGGTTTTATAGTTAAGTCTATATCACATGATATCCCATTTCAACCAGCTACACCGAAAAAGGGGAAAGATTTAGTTGATGCGGGGCATGTAGGCAATGTTTCGGAATATAATAGCTTTTTTATTTTACACCATACAAATATTATGTTGTTTGTATTATAGGTTATTTACTTATTTTTCTTATTAATGGCAATAATACATTTTTCTCTTTGAACTATTTTATGCTTGGCAACAGGAAATGAATAAAATTTACAATGACTGTTATACTGTAGCGTTTACGCTACTGACTAGTCTAATTTAAACCCCTCAAGAAATTTTTATTACCCGCCTACGATCGATTTTTAAATGGACATTTTTCCCCACACGCGTAGTAGTCGCTTAAAAAGTAAGGTTGGTCGAGTTGGTACGAGAACGATCAGTTTTGGTCAGAACTCGTCAACGCAGACACGCCAACCGGTGAAATTGTTCACCTTCAAAGTGACGGAATTGGAGCAAGGAAGATAATTTGGGGAAGAATATAATTCATTAATAATAATAGTAATAATTAATTTTAAATAACAAGTATTAATTTATAAGAGTTCCATATAAAAAGGAAGAGTTTTTTGGCGTGTTGCGAGCTCCATGTAAGTAAATCATTTTATACGTATTATCTCTTTATCATATAATCAAATTTATCATTGTATTTAGTATTTCTTTAGAGATTTATTTTTGAGTTCCGAAATAATTTAAATATAAAATTTCCTTGATTTACTTGCAAAGAACAGAAGGTCATCTTTTTTATATAGTCAAACTTAAATTCTGTTTTATTCCATGTCGTTACCATTAAGTTTTTTGGTTTTTTTTTACCTACATTTTTTGGTGGAATATAAAAGGTTCTACCAATGTGGACAGCCTTCTATATTCTGCGCATGTTCTTTTCATGGCGCAAGCTTGCCATGCCTACGAAAGTAACTTCATAAATTTGACATGATGTTGACTTAACCTAATACCTGATATTTTGATGTTTTGTTTTGGTGCAGTCAATCCATGCTGCTACACCTATTGAATTGTATTTATTAAATTAAATAATAATTTTAGATTCCGTCACGTGAAAATATTAATTTCACTTCACTTGAGGATATTCTTTTCAGAATATTCCCTCAAGGACTCAAGTAACTGAATCCTTAAACTAGTTAGCAACTTTATGTAACCCGTGGATTTTGCTGTCACCCAGAGACCAGTGACTGGTTGTGGTTTTGTGCCCAGGATTCGTCTTTACAGCCATAAACTGATTTAGCCGTGCCAAGAGGAATTTTCCTATGGACATATAGTGCTGTAAAGATAAGTTGTTTAACTATTTGACTTTTTGTTACTAACTATCTATTTTGTTACTATGTATTATTTGTTACTATATATCATATGCATATGATAAGGTGAATACCTTTTTTTGATAATTTAATTATTTGATAAATATAATTTTGATATTATTGGGAGAGAAGGAAATACCTTACATGTTTTTATTGGTTTTTTAAATAGGATTTCAAGAGTACTGACCAAACTCACTTTTGATATAATATTTTTTTAATACAATACATTTGATATAAAATAATTTTGATATTGGGAAGTGAAATGAATTTCATGTGGTTTTTAAAACATTGTATAAGGAGTACTTATTGAAGACTCATTTTTTTGATGTAATATAATATAATTGTAATAGATTTATCGAGTTGATATCTTTATAATATTGTCATTAGTACCTCATTTTAGTAGAACTAATTTAAATTTAAATGACTACCTTTTTGTTTTAAGACTTTGGCTACCCTACGGACTATTCTTGGTTTATACTAATATTTCATATTTTATTTGGCCAGTGGTAGTGACTATTCGTTTGTTGAGGGGCTATTAGGTCCCATTGTATGTGTACACCATCCACTACCACTGTTATTTGGCTTTGCATTATATGTAAATTGTTTATACACATATACCTATATACATTTTTATAAAAATATATTTATTGTTGCTATTTTGAGTTTTATTTCAGTTCTACTAACCAGTATATAACATAGCAAAACAAGATTATTATTTAGTATCTTTGTATTTCAGAGTATTATCTTCAGATTCATTTGTTACTTCAAAATCTCAACTATCGTTGAGTTGGCGCCCTTCTTTTCTCTTCTTATTGTTCTCTTTCTATAAATTTATTCCCAGTGACCTTCTTCAGTTTATCACGTTTGATATTACCAGGTCTCATTTCGTTCTTGTCTCTAGCTCATTATCTCTTGTTATTGTTGTTTATATCTTTAAAGCCACAATCCAGTGCATTGAAGCTAGCCCGAACACTCACTTGAGATTAAGTGTCTCTTTGGCCATTTAACTTTGTTCTTCTGAGCTTAGCCCTATTTTAGTATTTTCATCACCTCTCTTTCAGTTCTTCTGAAATTTGGAAGTTCTACACTTCAAAAAAACCCAATACTCCCGGAGTATTGAGCGTTTCAATTGGCGCCCAACGCCAATTGAGGTTTCAATTGGCGCCCAACGTGGGGCTTCTTTTCCACTTCTGCCTTAAAAAAAAATATATATATATATCTCCTTTAACTTTTGATTTTGATCTTGGGTTGTTGTGGTTTTCACTGGTTGTGCTTTTAGATTTTCATTTTAACGTTTAGTTTTGTTTTTCAATTTTTTTTTGGACATTACCTTATATCTATATCTTAAATTGACTTGTTTTTGCTATATACTGTGTAGACTGAATAAATTGCTTTGTTTTTGATTGATTAAATAACAATTTAGATTAATAATAAATTAATTAAAAATTTAAATAACTAAAGTTTACTATTTCACATATTTTACAAGTCCGGAGTAGCCAATAAGTTGAGTCACTACCTCGAAATAACAGTTTTTGAAATTTTAGGTTCCTTAGGGTGTTGTAGCAGTATATGTCATTGGATTTGATAACTGGACCAAAACAATTAAACATTACTGGTATAGGTATCCCTTCAGAATATTAATTTGGAGTCAGAGAGTAAGTTAAACTTTACCTACTTTTACTCATTCTCTTGTATATTTCTCAGTTGTGTAATATGTCTGCGTTCAAGGTAGAGCATCTGTTAGCTCTTGAATTAGAGTATGAGTTGAGAGTCTGTCATCTAACCAGTCCCTTGTTAAAAAAATGTTTTATGATGTACAGAATGTACCAGGTAAATTTCCTGATTTTAAAGTTGAACATGGTGTTTTATATAAACATATCTTAAGTTCCATAGATGCCCTTACTGGAATGTCCGATTGGAAGATAGTCGTTCCAACTCCTAATAGAGCAGAGGTTTTGGCCACTTTTCATGACCATTCTACTGCAGCTCATTTTGGTTTCTACAAAAACTTTCCGTCAAATATCTGAACTTTATTACTGGCCGAAGATGCGTCAAACTGTACGTAGCTATATCGCTTAATGCAAATCTGTGCTACATGCAAACCGACAAATCTTCCCCAACCAGGTTAAATGGATAGTTATCGACAGATTGATTTTGCATTTCAACTTATATCGTTAGATCTCATTAATCCCTTATCACTTCAGTACCAGTTTGGTTGCTTAAGATCTGTTTACCTATTTTGTTTACCTGGCAAAAACCATAAGATGTTTTGCTATTTTGCCTTCTATTTTTTTTATCTTATCTTAATGATGGTTATTATCTTAGTATATGGACTTGTTAATTTTGTTGTTTGTTCTCTTAAAAGTCAAATTGCATATCATAGGAGTACAGGATGGATATATGGGAATTTCCCCATCTTGAGTTCTGAGTTGAATAGATATTTACAGGGATAATTAGGAAAACATTCCAAATATTTTCATTATGAGTGTTGTATAGTTTTGTGGATCATGACCATAAAGCTTATGCATTCATATTTACTTACTGTGTCGGTGTTTTAGCGTGGGTTCAGGATTGATCACCCTGGATGTGTGCCCTCACTTGGCTCAGAAATCTATCAATAAATATTAGTTGTTCCTTGAGTGTCTCTTAGGTTGAAATCAGAATGTGTCATTTAGAATTGGATCGTTCTGATATTCAGCAGTAAGTAAGTCTGTTTAACTTGGAGGTAATCTACTATGCTATTATCGTTGAAAGTATTTGAGTTTTAACATATTTTATTGTATACTGTTTGTTTACCGGTCTCTCTACTAGTGATATGGATTGGTAGATGTGAGTTATCTTTATCTGTATCTTAATTGAAGTTATCTTTACCTTTATGGAGTTTATCTCATACCTGTAATGGAGTTTATCTCGTACCTTGACTGAGTTTATCTCGTATCTTTACCTTGAGTGTATATTTATCTTTACCTTAATCGGTTTATCTCATACCTTTACCTTAAGTTAGTTATCTTTATCTTTACCTGGATAAGTTTATTTCTTATCTATATGTTATGAATATATATATCTTATCTTTATCTTGATTATAGAGTCCTAAAAATCTGTCCTTTACTGTTCTTGTCGTGAGTAAAGAATTGGAACACGTCAATAGTACAGTTTAGGTATTACAGTTAGGATCTCTTTTATCTTTCCTTCTACCAAGTGTATAGCTGGTAGAAGTGAGTTTTGTGCATATCCTCTACCATGAGTAGATCTGGACGTGCAATTATCTTTTCCCTTTTGTGCATATCCTTTACTATGAGTTGGGATTGCAGTTATCTTACTTACCTTTTTTTTAGCATACCCTATACCATGAGTATAGTGGGCTTGCTAGTATCTAAGGCACTAACAATCTTTACCGATTGTGTGCTTTCCTACCGCTGCTAGAGCAAGTAGGTGTATTGTATTATCTTCTACTTTGAATTTTCAATATGTTGTTGATATCCCGAACCATATATATGTTTAGGTTTTGTAATTTCAACTAGTTCTGAGTAATTAGGCCCTCATTGAACTCTATGGTGACGAATAGAATCTGGTCGCTCTAGTATCAACGTTGGGTAAAGTTCATAGGACTTTGTTTGAATTTCGTGGTTATGAATGGTTCTTGGAGATATTGTGTTAGGGGTTGTTAATACACACCTATAATGTAGTTTTAACGATGGTTGTTTTTACAAATACTTGAGAATGTAGATAAGTAGTGTTAAAAGTTAACTTGATCTGTAAGGTTATAGAATTTAACTTAAAATGTATACCTTTTTATTTTTTTTATCTTTGGTTTATACTAAATTAACATACATTATCGCATTAAAAAAAATGTATGACTTTGTCTTATTCTTCGTTCCATATTTTTATTTCGTCCTTGATTTTGTTCCAATTCCTGAGCAAATGGTTGATTGGTGAGGAAAATGTTCAATTTTAACGTATCAACGTTCATTGTCGACCCAGCGTTAGATCGTTCTGCCACAAAAAAAAAAAAAAAGTTCCTTTTTTTTTTTGCTGGAGATGAGGGAGAATGTAGCGTTTACGCTACTGACTAGTCTAATTTAAACCCCTCAAGAAATTTTTATTACCCGCCTACGATCGATTTTTAAATGGACATTTTTCCCCACACGCGTAGTAGTCGCTTAAAAAGTAAGGTTGGTCGAGTTGGTACGAGAACGATCAGTTTTGGTCAGAACTCGTCAACGCAGACACGCCAACCGGTGAAATTGTTCACCTTCAAAGTGACGGAATTGGAGCAAGGAAGATAATTTGGGGAAGAATATAATTCATTAATAATAATAGTAATAATTAATTTTAAATAACAAGTATTAATTTATAAGAGTTCCATATAAAAAGGAAGAGTTTTTTGGCGTGTTGCGAGCTCCATGTAAGTAAATCATTTTATACGTATTATCTCTTTATCATATAATCAAATTTATCATTGTATTTAGTATTTCTTTAGAGATTTATTTTTGAGTTCCGAAATAATTTAAATATAAAATTTCCTTGATTTACTTGCAAAGAACAGAAGGTCATCTTTTTTATATAGTCAAACTTAAATTCTGTTTTATTCCATGTCGTTACCATTAAGTTTTTTGGTTTTTTTTTTACCTAACTTTTTTGGTGGAATATAAAAGGTTCTACCAATGTGGACAGCCTTCTATATTCTGCGCATGTTCTTTTCATGGCGCAAGCTTGCCATGCCTACGAAAGTAACTTCATAAATTTGACATGATGTTGACTTAACCTAATACCTGATATTTTGATGTTTTGTTTTGGTGCAGTCAATCCATGCTGCTACACCTATTGAATTGTATTTATTAAATTAAATAATAATTTTAGATTCCGTCACGTGAAAATATTAATTTCACTTCACTTGAGGATATTCTTTTCAGAATATTCCCTCAAGGACTCAAGTAACTGAATCCTTAAACTAGTTAGCAACTTTATGTAACCCGTGGATTTTGCTGTCACCCAGAGACCAGTGACTGGTTGTGGTTTTGTGCCCAGGATTCGTCTTTACAGCCATAAACTGATTTAGCCGTGCCAAGAGGAATTTTCCTATGGACTTATAGTGCTGTAAAGATAAGTTGTTTAACTATTTGACTTTTTGTTACTAACTATCTATTTTGTTACTATGTATTATTTGTTACTATATATCATATGCATATGATAAGGTGAATACCTTTTTTTTGATAATTTAATTATTTGATAAATATAATTTTGATATTATTGGGAGAGAAGGAAATACCTTACTTGTTTTTATTGGTTTTTTAAATAGGATTTCAAGAGTACTGACCAAACTCACTTTTGATATAATATTTTTTTAATACAATACATTTGATATAAAATAATTTTGATATTGGGAAGTGAAATGAATTTCATGTGGTTTTTAAAACATTGTATAAGGAGTACTTATTGAAGACTCATTTTTTTGATGTAATATAATATAATTGTAATAGATTTATCGAGTTGATATCTTTATAATATTGTCATTAGTACCTCATTTTAGTAGAACTAATTTAAATTTAAATGACTACCTTTTTGTTTTAAGACTTTGGCTACCCTACGGACTATTCTTGGTTTATACTAATATTTCATATTTTATTTGGCCAGTGGTAGTGACTATTCGTTTGTTGAGGGGCTATTAGGTCCCATTGTATGTGTACACCATCCACTACCACTGTTATTTGGCTTTGCATTATATGTAAATTGTTTATACACATATACCTATATACATTTTTATAAAAATATATTTATTGTTGCTATTTTGAGTTTTATTTCAGTTCTACTAACCAGTATATAACATAGCAAAACAAGATTATTATTTAGTATCTTTGTATTTCAGAGTATTATCTTCAGATTCATTTGTTACTTCAAAATCTCAACTATCGTTGAGTTGGCGCCCTTCTTTTCTCTTCTTATTGTTCTCTTTCTATAAATTTATTCCCAGTGACCTTCTTCAGTTTATCACGTTTGATATTACCAGGTCTCATTTCGTTCTTGTCTCTAGCTCATTATCTCTTGTTATTGTTGTTTATATCTTTAAAGCCACAATCCAGTGCATTGAAGCTAGCCCGAACACTCACTTGAGATTAAGTGTCTCTTTGGCCATTTAACTTTGTTCTTCTGAGCTTAGCCCTATTTTAGTATTTTCATCACCTCTCTTTCAGTTCGTCTGAAATTTGGAAGTTCTACACTTCAAAAAAACCCAATACTCCCGGAGTATTGAGCGTTTCAATACCCAGTATCATATCTTTTCCTTGTTGAAAAATCCATATTCGCCATTATTTCAATGTTTACAAGTTAAATGCACAAAACTGCCACTAACAGCGTTGGTGAAAACTGTCAAATCCCTTCTACTCATCGGCTCACAGCGAATTGGTTCCATTTAAAACATGGCTCATTCCGAACGAGATGCGCGTACTTCTCTTGACAAGCATAATGGGCATTCTGATTGGTATTTATTCTGTGATATTAGAATATATTATCAGTAAAAATACATTGTTTTATTTATAAACAAAAATGGAAAATTCACTTCTATACGAACAGTAGTAATATATACTTAGAAATATTCTAGAATAATTTTAAAAACACTATTTGTATTTGGCTTATAGAAAAAGATAAATATGAAAAAAAAAAGATAAAAGACTGAGGGTGACATGAAATGACGCTGGTTATATTATTGAATATTGGCAATGAAAAAATGATCTTATCAACTAAAACAGTGAACACAAACAATATCTAGTTTATGCACTTATCGAACTAAAGTTTAAACATTTATTATTTATTTAATAAAATTATTTTAAGTTTGAAGGATAGGTATGGAAGATTTAAGAAAACACAATCCCGAGTGTCACTAATTATCACTTCATTAAATACTTTATTACATTAAATACAACAAAATATTGGCTACAAACCTTGTTTATTAAAAATATTTTTATAATATTTGTGTAAGGATATATTGTTATAAGTACCTGGATTCTTTGATGATCTACATAAAGCGCCTACAGATTGAGCGGATTTTAAAGATTGTACTTCTTCTCGAAGTTCACTACATTTGTCTCTCAAACATTGATCCATTGAAATTAAAATACCCTTTTCTTCTTGTAAAACCTTAAACATAAAATTTACTTAGAAACGTTTTCATTATGATTTACTATAATATTTTCTCAAAAAGGTAATTTATAATGAAAAGATATGTTATTACATTTTTTGATAATATAAATATTCATTAATATTTGTGGAACTACCGAGTGTTCTGAGGTAAGTAGAAAGTGGCTCAAGTTTTCTTTGCATACTTTTATATCTCATGCCATTAGTTTGAGATTACCTTGTATTGGTTATTATTAATAGAGAGCGGAATTTATGCAATATATATATATATATATATATATATATATATATATATATATATGCATATATATATATATATATATATATATATATATATATGCATATATATATATATATATATATATATATATATATATATATATATATATATATATATATATATATATATATGCATCTATTGCATATCTTTGCTTATTTTAAATAAAATTGCATCATGATAAACAAGATGTATTTTACATATTTTAAAAATAAATTATATGAAAATTGGATATTTTCCGCTTTTATTTGGAATTGTAGAACTTGGATACGAACGAGCTCCTTAATATATCACTCACTATCTATCTGGACTTTTTCATTATTAAGTGAATTTAATAATTATGAGTTTTTCAAAAGAAAAAAGGATTATTTTATTATCTGTTGTTTAAAGAAATCCCAATTTCCAAAAGGTACATGTTTTAACCGAATGCTCTGACGAAATAACGGAATACTATTATGCAGACGATAATTACTATGCAAACAATTATATCACAGACAGTTATGACACAGATTATTATACAGAAAATAATCTGCAGATCTATTACAATAAAAACAACACCAACAATACACCTTGCCTCTCTCTATCTCTCTTTCTCTTTCTCTTTCTCTTTTTTTTTCTCTTTCTCTTTCTCTTTCTCTTTCTCTTTCTCTTTACTTACTCTTTCTCTTTCTCTTTATCTTTATCTTTCTTTATCTTGCTTAGCGCATTGCGACTAAAACTCGAAGAATACTCTTATTATAAAATAGATCACTGCTCAAGAAAAATAAACAGAAATCCAGATGCCTTCTCAAAAATAAAAATTAACCATTTCAGGAATTGTGCCAACGTTCAATCAAAAATATCGTTACATGCATTGAATAGAGACGAAACAGAGATAAAAGTAAACGAAGAAGACGATAATGAAGAAAATATAGAAAAGGTATTCGAAGAACTTGACAAGTTTATCGAATTCTATAGAACGAAGTCAATAATCGATGGTTCTAAAATTTAAACGTCAAATATAAAATTACTAGATAAACCTCATAAAAATATTGTTTTTTAACTTTTTATATTGACTTCACGTCGAACCTTTGCCGTCAACAGACGTGTTTAATAGCTAGCCTAATTACACCTAGTTTTTTTGCGATATTATTTATATCCATTTGATAAAATTGCAATAAAGTGTAGTGTTAATATAAAAATAAATTTGAACTACTTGGAAAAAAACTGTAAGTAGTATTTATTATAATATAATTAAAGATACTTATATCAAAACAAGTTCCTGCTACCGGACTTATCAACTACACAACTTTTGGTACCTCATTACCGATTCTGTTTTTATGGAAACATGACCGTCTGAAGAATAGAGGTACCAAAATATGAACAATATTTTTTAAAATGGATGAAGATTCTGTTGGTTCTGTTTCTTCTCCTATCAACAATCAACCATGTTCATATTCAAACGCTGTTACTTCATTTAAATATCCAACCAAAAACCAAGCCATTGTCCTATCTGCTCTCAATGGAATAAAAATAAACGAATACGTGATAGCAATAGGTAATATAGTAAAACCAGAAAATATATTATTTGCATCGCGCATCTCAAATAACACAATTTGTATTTATCTCTCCAATACCGAAGTCGTCAACACATTGCTGAAGACACATACATCAATATCCATTAATGATTCAGAAGTTGAAGTAAGACGTCTAATTACTCCTGCTTCAAGACTGGTGATCTCAAATGTCTGTCCCACCATACCAAACTCAGTACTTGAAGTTGAGCTGAAAAAATTAGGACTTAATACTGTATCCCAGATGACTTTTCTGCGAGTTGGAATGCCGGACACTGCCTATAACCACGTTTTAAGCTTTCGAAGACAAATTTTTATCACTCCTATTGAAAATATCACTATCCCAGATTTCATTACAATATCCTTCGACAACACCAACTATCGAATTTATCTATCCACTGACTTAAATTGCCCTAAGTGTATGTCAAAAGGTCATCGCGAAACAGACTGCCCTGTTCTATCACAATTGACATCAACTGAAACACCCATTGAATCTCAATCTACAATATCACTTCCGTCTAAACCTCAAAATCTTACAACAGAAGCAGGAAATCCTATTAATAATACCACTAACTTTCAAATAACAGCAGAAGATATTCACAACGAAACGACTAAAAATAACAATCCTATTACTTTGAACACTGATGCCTCCCATCAAAAAACAAAGAGACAAATATCTACTGACTCTCCTGAGATACATGAAACGCCACCCGATCCAACAATTTTTACCAAACCCAAAAATACGGTTAAGCGGCCAAAATCATCACAATCTGATATCCTCGAGTCACTTGAATCTATTAAAGGTAAAATCGAATCTAAATACCCGACATTTCCTCTTAAATTTACAGTTCTTTGTGACGCGATATGTAACGCATTAAACTCAAATTATCCTACCCCCATAGTAGAAAATTACACAACCGATATGGGTTCTTTTAAAGAGATACTTCTATTCGCCCACGACCATATTCCTGATCGCAAAATAAAAAATAAACTAACAAGACTTCGAAAAAAGATACAATCCTCAGTTACCGATTCATCCTCGGATATTGAAAGCGATAACTCCCTTTCCCACGTTGTAAAATAAAATGGATAATACATTTATATTACAGTGGAATCTTAATGGTTATTTTAATAATTTAGAATCCCTTAATCTACTTATAAACGATCTTTCTCCTCTTATAATATGTTTACAGGAAACCCACCTTAAAACTAATAACTTTAATATAAAAAATTATTCCCATTTCCTTAAAAATCGAGACGCAACATATGCTAGTGGAGGTGTTGGTATTTTTGTAAAAAATCACATTCAGACCAAAGAAATTAAGCTACATACTAATCTAGAAGCTGTAGCTGTATCAGTGTCATGCAATATCAACTGCAGACCTATTAACATATGTAACATTTACCTTCCTCATCCAAAGGAAAATGTACTTGAATAATTACGTCGCTTAATCGATGATATTCCTGCTCTCAAACTAATACTTGGTGACTTGAATTGTCATAATATCGCATGGGGTAGTCTAAAAACAGACAAATGTGGTAGACTTCTTCAGAAATTAATAGACAATCAAAATCTAATTTTAATGAATACTGGTAAATCTACTCATTTTAGCTCCCACAATAGTACTTTTTCTGCCATGGATATTTCGATTGTGTGATCACACATTAGCTACAAGTTTTTCTTGGAATAGTCTTGATTATCTATATAATAGCGATCATTTTCCTATAACAATTAAAACCATTTTTGGTTTCAACCAAATATTCCTGTTTACCAAAAATGGAAATTAAACTCAGCAAACTGGGACTTATATAGAGAGCTAATAAATAATTATCTTACGAACTTTATTCTAGAAGATAGCATAGATTCATCTCTTCATCATTTCAATGATACTATAGTAAAATGCGCCAATATTGCAGTGAGAAAAACAAAACCTTGTAAACGAAAACCAGTACCATGGTGGAGTGAAGAAATAGCCTTAGCTATGAAATCTAGCAAACATGCTTTCAATGTTTTAAAAAGACATAAAACAACAGAAAATGTTATCAATTTTAAAAAACTTAGAGCAAAAACTAAATATCTTATTAAGAAAAGTAAAAAAGAAACATGGTCAAATTATGTTTCTACCATAAATTCATCAACACCAATGACTACAATCTGGAATAAAGTACGTACACTAAAAGTTGAACAGAACTCAATTCATATTAACACTCTTTCTTGTAAAAACAAATTAATATCTTCCAAACAAGAAATTAGTACTATTATGTCAGATTTATATAAGAATAATTCAAGCAATGCAAACTTCAATCCCGCATTTTTAGATTTCAAAAATAAACGTGAAATGACAGATATATCTATACTAGATAGTGATAATCCACTAAATTTCCCCATCACATATCAAGAATTTAAAGAAGCTCTAGATAAATCAAAAAACACTTCATCGGGTCCTGATAATATACCAATCATATTTATCAAAAACTTGCCGTACATAGGAAAATTAATTCTCTTAGACATTTTCAATCACATTTACCTTAATAAAAGATTTCCGTCAATCTGGTCTAAATCAACAATTATTCCTATAATAAAACCTTTCAAATCAAAAACTGACCCCTTTCCTATAGACCAATTTCTCTTACAAATATTACATGCAAACTACTAGAAAAAATTTTAAATAACAGATTAATATGGTTTCTTGAAAAAAACCAATTATTAAGCCATATCCAAAGCGGGTTCAAAAAAGGCAGATCTACTCATCATGCCTTAGTAGCTATTGACAATATTATATGTGAGTCCTTTAGAAATAACCAGAAAGTAATTGCCATATTTTTCGATATAAATAAAGCATTTGATACTGCATGGAGATACAATATTTTACAAACCATGTCCAATTGGAGTATCCAGGGAAATTTTCTTGCATTTGTAAAACATTTCATGAATAATAGGATATTCCAAGTACGTGTAAATGGAATTACCTCAAAAACAGAATGCCTTGAAAACGGTATTCAACAGGGCTCAACTTAAGCCCCACTTTATTTTTAATAGCAATTAATAATATCGCTCAAGAGATAATGCTACCTTTGAAAGCAGATCTGTATGCAGATGACTTAGTTGTATATACTAGTAGCTGCAATATTACACTAGCCTCAAAAATTTTGCAATCATTTCTGCATAA